TAATTTAAAATTTTTGGTGTATATGCTTGAAGGACTTAAGAGTATATCTATGTGCATAAAGAAAGACATTGAAATTTCTGGTGTACTTGAGGACTTTTCATGATATGTTGTATAAGCTAAGTATACTAAAGTATAAGTTATCACACTTAGGCAAATTATTAAAGAAATGATTGATGAATCATATAATTTAGAGTTTGATTAAGGATTTGGGCTATGTATATTGAATATATGCAGTACAATTAAGCTGATTATTGAAATGGAAATGAGTTGGGGATTTAGAGAAATTAATTTGGAGGATTAGAGTTGTAAAAAATTTGAAATTTGGACATGATCTATCAATAGATGTTTTAGGTCTATCTATAAATGAAAGTTAGGAAACATTTTGCAACAAATTGAAAAACATTTATCAATAGATTCGCACAATTATCGATAAATGTACATATGTGAATGAAAAGGGAAGTAAACTGAACAACATCTATCGATAGATTCATGTAACTATCTATAGATGTCCACCCATGAATAATTCTAAGCATTTGGAACGCAATCTATTGATAAATTTGCGGAATCTATCGATAGATAGCAACATGAGAATGATGAAAAGGTGTCTAGTGCACCATCTATCGATAGATGGAGGGTAAAATGTTGACAATCGTGTTGGATCTATCAATAGATGCATGGGACATTACAAAAATAAAATGGGTTTTGGGTATTCGCCTATTTGAGAAACAAAACAAAACACTCTAATGCTCTGCCCCCTTTGAAAGTCCAAGTCTCCCACTAGATTTTGAGTTAGTTTGAAGTTGATTGGAGCTTGGCAAGCCATTATGGAGGTATGATTAAGTCATTTTACCAATTGATTTACGATTTAAACAGTTTATAATCTTGAGATTTATTTACTTCAATTTTAGTTATTGTCTTCCCTTAGTGATTACTGGAAATTTGAAGTTTAAGTGGGTTAAATCTAGCACTAATGTAAGAATTTAAGCATATTGAACATAGAACTTGAAACTAGGATGATTATGTGATGAAATTGGAAGTTTGGCTAATGTGAAGTGTTGGAAATTATTTGAAATACTAAATATGAAATTTTTATGTGCTATATAGGGGGGAAATGAAACTATTAGAGCATTATTGAGTTAGGAATCATTGTTGAGTCGTTTGAACTTATTGGTAACAAGGAAAGTTTAGGTTTAGCTATGGAAGAGCCTTCGCTTGTCACTGTGAGTGGGGTTTATTGTTTGAATATTAATGCTACCCTGGTACTTGATTAGTGGATTTATGCCTAAATAGTTATGCCTAGGCTAGTGAATCATTGAGTTATGTTTGATATGCATGTGTCATATTGTGAGCCACATGGTGGCGTATATGTTCTATTCATTCTTTGTACCCTTAGTCAGGGGGTTTGGTTCTTATGATTACGTGACCAATGAAATAATCGTTGCATAGCATTAATGTTATTGAACTTGCTATGTATATGTGAAATTATGTGATATTGTGGGAGGAGCTTATTATGATGAATAGTTGATTTTAGAAGCATTGTGCTAATGTGTTTGATGAGCATAATTATATTAAATTTGATATTGAATTAGTAAAACATGTGAGGTTTAACTAGATGATGATCCTTTGATGTGAATTATGATATATGAGGTGATAAAGGCATGATAGCTTGAAAATTGATTATGTGTTCCATCCAATTGAAAATTTTGAATGTTGATTTGATTGAGGTTGAGTGTATCCTACCCTTGTGATGGTGATTTGATTCTCTATCAACTGCTATGATGTTGAGCGTGATTTGAACATCTACCGACTACTTCAGTGTCGTGCTTGATTGGAACCTCTATTAATTGTTTATGCATCGTGTATGATTTGAACCTCTATTAGTTGCTTTGGCATCGTGCATGATTGGACGCTTCATTGACTACTTTGGTGTCGAGCATGATTTGACTCTCAACTAGCTACTTCAGTGCTGAGTGTGATTTGACTTTCCATCTATTGGCTATCGTACATTGATTTGACTATGTCCACGAGGGAACACTCATTGATTATATATGATTATGATCAATTGATTTGTGAATAGCATGTTAGATAATGGGATATACAATTATTGATATGTTTACGGGATATGAAAATTCTAAATCTTCAAAAGCTTGAAGGTAAGCAATTAAGTTTGTTTTCGATATTGTTCTTAGCAAACAACTGTATGCCTATGAAGCTTAGTTTTGGTAAGGACTTTAGAGGTAAGCCTTAACTTGATATCTATCGTTTATGGAGACGTAGATTAGGCTGGTTATGATGTGGGTACACTGTTCAAAACGTAATCATAGCAAGACTCAGTTGAATGAGATGTGTGTATGGATATTGGAGTGATTCACGCACACTTTATATTGGAGATCGATTAATAGTTACACTTAATGAATCAGCTCTATTATTTGTCAATGTACAATTATTATGCTTTTGTTTAGCTTCCAACACACTGAGTATTAGATGATTTTTTTCAATTATTTGTACCATGTGCAAATAAGTAAGTCACGGGATTTGCATGGCTAGTGTCATCTCTAGATAGACAATTTTGGCATCTGATAGGTATCCTCCATTTGACATGTCTACTCCGCTAAGTCCAAACTTATGTTATCTTCCCGCTTCCGGTTTTAGTTTCCAAACTATATATATATATATATATATATATTTCGCATAATGAAGGCACTATATTGGTATTATTGTGATAAGGGTTGTATGGTATCAGCCTGTTTTAATGGCCAACATGTGGCTTGTAAATATTATGTTTAAGTGTTTTGTTTGAAAGAAGTGCTGAGGGGCAATGATTATGAATTATGAAGTTATGTGTTAAATGAACATGTGATGTTTATATAAACCGGTGGAATTGTGTTTTGCGAAATGATTTGTTAATAATTATAAGGCTTGCTCGGGTCTCATTGGCTTTGCTTGCCGAACTCATGCGTTGATCATGATCTATGGGTTTGAGTTGTTGCAAAAATAGTAAGAATTAATGTAAAAAATTATAAAGCTGGAATAAGTAATGTTAAAATATTGACGTAGATGTGTAAATTTTAATGTAACAAATTAATTATGTCAAATAAATATAATTTTTAAAAAATTAAACGTTTAAATTTATAGTCTTGAATTTAAAATATTTAACGGTTTATAAATTTTAATTTATAAATAAATAATAGTAAGTATAAAAATAATTATAGTGAAAATTAATAGTTAAAAAATCTTAACATAAATATGTCAAAATTAATGTAAAAAATTATAGAGGTGGAATAAGTGTTGTCAAAGTATTGACGTAAATATGTAAAATTTAATATAATAAGTCAATTAAGTCAATATAAATATAATCTTTGTAAAAATTAAACGTTTAAATTTTTATTATTGAACTAAAAATATTCAACGATTTATAAATTTTAATTTATAAATGAATAATAATAAAGATAAAAATAATTATAGTTAAAATAATTATTTATCTGACTAATTTTTTATTATAGTGTTTATTTAAAAATTTTTGGTTAATATTTTTCACTTGAGAATATCAATGTAAATGATTAATTTTCATAAAAAATGATAATATTCTCTTTTTTAGTTCTTTCCCTTTAATTATTATTTTTATTTTTGTATATAAAGGTTATTTAAGTTTTTTTTCCTTAACTTGTTTGATAAGTAAATAGGTTGTAATTTTTTATATTGATAAATGGCTAAAGTAAAAGCTTCTAAATCTAATGGTTGTTATTCATAGCTTTACAATAAAGTTAACCTTACTATAGAATTTGCTAATTAAGTATACTTATTTAAAGAGAAAAGAATCATATATAAATATCTTTTTTTTTTAATGCTTTGAGTAAAGAGAGAATGTAATATCTCGTTTTTGTACATCAATATGATGGGAGAATTACATTTTATAAATAATTGGTTATGCTCACAATTATATATTTTACAAATGTTATTTGATACTTGGATCTCACTTGACCATAATTGAATTGATCAAAAAATTTAAAACTTAAATTCAAAAAAATTTGATTTTTTTATGTTATAAAAAATAATTGAAATAAACATAAAAATAAATTAAAAAAATTTAAATTATTTTAAAAAATTTAAAATTTTTTTTATACTTTTATTATGTTCAATCAAGTCATTTTATTTTTATTTTAAGTAAACTCCTATAATTAATGATTGATCATTAAATCAAAATATTATTTATTTTTTATATCACGTGGTGTTAATGTAACATGTTGACATGTCAAAATAGGTAATGAGATGGTATGCTTCTATGTCATGGTGGAAAAATATTTATACTTTTCACATCAGCACTATATAGGTATAAAAATGATAAGTGATGTTTTGATTAATGAGCAAATAATCAACTGTTAATCATAAGAGGCTATTTAATTTAAAATAAAAATACAAAGATATGATTGAATGCAATAAAAAAATTAAAACTTATTTAATTTTTTAAATACTTTAATTATTTTTTAAAACATTATATCCAAATTTTTAATTATACATATAAATTCATAAAAAATATAAAAATAATCTATTTATGTCATGTTCTCCTTACCTTAGTCTCACATAATAATTAGCCATCTATTGAGGGAAGTTCACCGTTATATAGGACTTATATATTCTTTGAATTTCACTAACAAAGTTATCCGAAATTAGGTGAGAAACATGGGATTTAATTTCTTTCATTGGTAATAATTTCGATGAGGAAAAGAATTCAAGTAGTTGGGTTCCCTACGAAGAAAAAGACTAGCGAAATCGGATTTCATATATATACATATATATATATTGTTTTATTTTGTTTGATGGGATTTATTTTTCTTCCAAACAGAAAAGGGAAAACAAAAAAAAAAGGAAGAGGATGAGCTGTAATCACATTATCCAAACAATGTGATATGGTGCATAGGTGGCAGCTCCCTAGTGGAGGAAACGATTGAATCTACTTTCTGAAGATCAGATAATTCTGTAAGAAAAAAGCCATAGAAAATCCAATTCATTCGAGGCCTCTCAAATTTTCTTCCTTCTTTCCGTAACCCATTCTGCCACAATTCCACCCTGCATCTTTTTGCAGAGAAAGAAAGAGAGAGAGCGAGAGATATGGCTAGCTGCAGCATGGCGTCAGCTGCTTCAGGGTTCTTGCTGACACCCAATGTGACAGGCAATGCAAGCTCAGCTTCTAAGACCAACGTGGCGTTTTTCCCTTCAAAGAACAACAACAACAACAGTAACTGTTCAAGGCTTGTTGTTAGGGCAGCTGAAGAGGCTGCAGCACCAGCTCCAGCTGCCACCGCTGCACCACCTCCTAAGCCTAAGCCAGCGCCAATTGGACCAAAGAGAGGCGCCAAGGTCAGCAACGTACCGCCATAGAATTATCATTATCAATAATCATAACCATTTCATCTGACTTTTCCGTTAGATGGAGAGAACTTGCACTAAGATCACATGTGAAAGATGTTTTCTATATATACATATACATATACGTATACATACAGAAATGATCTAGAAAGTTAGGAATTCATAGTGTTGATTGTAAAGGATCGTAAGAAAACATCCATGTTAAGCTTGATCGTAAAAGAGGGAAACTGCCTGTTGTCGACTGTTTTTTTTTTTTTTGGCTGAGCAATGAACGGAGCCTTAGAAGTTTACTGGAATTTTTATTTTGGACTAACTTTGATTTTGGTTTCACCCGATAGGTCAAGATTCTCAGAAGGGAGTCCTACTGGTACAACAGCTATGGATCAGTTGTTACAGTTGACCAGGTTCGTCACTCTCTTTCTCTCTCTCTCTAGACTCAACCATGTGGGCATGTCTCCATCTTTTGAAGAAACGATCTAATTAATTTTGGCTCACTTTAATGTTCATCAACTTGTGCAGGACCCCAAGACTCGCTACCCAGTTGTGGTTCGATTCAACAAAGTGAATTACGCCAATGTATCTACCAACAACTACGCATTGGATGAGATTGAAGAAGTTAAATGAGTCAATTGTAGCAATTGTAATTTTGGTTTTCATATTGTCTTCCCATCTCTAGCTTAAGCTTGCTTGTGCCAAAAACACGTGTATCATATTTATCATATTCTCTCTCTCTCTCTGATTTTCTTCCGTCTTCTTTTCTCACCTAGCTATAAAAATGGAGTTCTGGAAAGTGTTGGTTGACTGTCACATCCTCTGAGGGGATTCCATGCCCCAGACTCACTCACTCTGCAATGGTTATAAATGCCACTTGAGGATCAGAAGCCAGCGCAATTAGAGCTAGTTTAGCATCACCATTTGCAGAAGTGGGTTCCGCTTGCAATTCTCATCGTGCTCGATCGGTTAATTTTCATCAGACAGTTATATAAAAAGCCTAGACCAGTATGTTTGCTCCACAAAGATAATAGCACAAATGCAACTATATATATGCAAGAATAGACCTCAATAGTAACGCAAACGCAATTCAATAGTTGCATGTTAGTGTCCACAATTACTTGCATTTGATGCTCCAAAAAGATTGCTAAAGTTATTCCTTTACTCTGATGCCCATACCCAATAGTGTATGTCAATCCTTTGATGCTCAACCATGTTGCATTTCTTGTTCCAGCCAAGGTTATCTGCAGGGATACATCCAATATGTGGCTGGAGCACCTGTCAAACTCATACATAATCTTAAGATCTAACTGAGCCCTAACCCACCAAGTTGCATAACTGTTTTTCAAGATTGATAGACAAAAACCCTTCTATTTTCATGGATGAATGAAATAATCTTTGTTCAAATAGAAAAACAATCCTGGCATGACACGATGATACCACAACCAATTAGCAATCTACAGAGATGTGTTATAATTCAGTTCTTCCAGGTTTCCCGTTATGATATCATACAAACCCTGAAAATGTGATTACTTAATAGAGGTATCATAGATAAAAGGATTAAACAAAACAGCATTGTCAGATACATGACATTGCTTTGGCATAGAAACTGAAAAAGTCTTATGTCTAACTGTCATACAACAGGAGGGGCAGAACCTTGTAAGTTCTCCACGTAAAGAAATAGAGAGAAGGAAAATGAATCCGCTAGCAGAATGGGGGAGCTAAAATTGTTAATCAAACTGATGTTGGTTAACAGCTTGTGTTTAGCTTAGATTGCAATCAGTCCTACATTCCAAAGACTACAGTTACTACATGAACAAGAACATAAGATAAGTCCATAAGAACTCACATAAGTTTTCTTGATTCTATTACAAAGACCATGTTGAGGAATACTTTTGAGCATGTAATATTTAACAAAATTTGATTTTCACCTTGAAGAAAATCATTTTTTTAAAATTCTTTTCTCATGTCTGTGATCATAGAAAAATATATAAGATTAGAAAGCTTCTCATTAGCTTCATATTGCATTCTCACATAACCAGGAAAATTCCACAATCAAATATATGAATCCTTCCCGTTTCCTACTATTCAGTATAGTTTTTAGGAGAAAAAAAAAACCATTCCTGGCAGAAGACCAGTGCCATTACACTAAACTTTTCTTTTCTTTTTTTTGAAAGGCTAAACTTATAGTGCATTATTCATTTTTTAAGCAAGAAAACTTCATAATATCCTTTTTTTTATATCCCTTTATCTTTGGTTCATCATTTCACTTTTTTCAAACCAAAACTTTGTTTCTCAGAAAGAAACTAGGCCGAAATACTGTTAACAGCTGGTTATATGTCCCATTGTGATACAAATACTAGCTACTAAGTAATTAATATAAAACACCAAAAAGGAAAAAGAAGGGGAAAAGAAATAGAAACAACAACGATATATGTTAATTAAAGAATAAAGTAACATAGTTGATCGCAACTGTCACTGCAAGCAAAGTAATTTGAACTTAAAATGAGAAAACCTATAAACTTTAAACATATAGAAGGTAAACCAACCTTCCTTCAAAGAACTCTTCCATCCATTCCATCAAGAAGACCTGACCATAGCCCCTTTACAGGTGGCAACTGAGCGACAAAAGCATTCCAAGGAGGATAACCAACGCCACTTCCGCGCACACGACCATCCAAGCGCAGGGATAAATAACTACATAATGAACACACATAAGTAGATTTCACAAGCACAAGGATTTCTCATGACAATTGTCCAGACAATGCACAGAATTTTCTAAGCATTTTTCTGCGTTTCTTGAGTTTATAGTTGCTTATGTCGAAGATAGTCTAGAGATGCGTGTCTAATAATTCTTAGATGCTGTTAAAAGTAAGGTCTGAATGAAAAGGATTCCATGTGCAAGGTCTACACAGGCATATGTCTATTTGCATTCTAGAATCTTTGAATGAGAAGAAGATGGTAATTAGTAAGATGAAAGAACTCTTACACAGGAGATTCAGGGGATACACCAGCCAATTTCTTTTGTTCATCCAACCACCTGTATTTAAAGTTTAAACAAATAGATATGAGAGAGAGAGAGAGAGAGAGAGAGAGAGAGAGAGATCATTTCTTTGCTCTGAACATAATCTTACTCGGACCACTCAGACACATAAACAGGGGTTAACTTGCCAAGCCTCTTTCTTTTTGTGGTTATCTCTTTCATGTCTTCACTGTCACAAAGTCAAGACTAAGTGAATTCCCATCTGTAGCAAAAGGAATCACCAGCACTCCTCTTTGCAGAAGGTCCTCAGTGAATGGCTCACTAGATTTAAAAGACTCTACGATGAATGATGCAGGGCCGGCACATATTACAAGGCGAGCAATTCCTCTCAAACTGCTGACAGAAATGATCTTGTTTTGATCCACTCGGAGCTTAAGATTTGAAAGGCTTTCTTCTCTTGAGAGTCTGGCTATTTGTGCGTTCTTAGCAGTGTTCTCCCTGAAATACAGAAATGCAAAGATAGACACTGCAGCAACGTCTATGCCAAGACTTGTTAAAAGGTCAGGGACTTCAGACGATCTTTCAGGATTGGTTAGGGCAGCAATTAACTGTGTAAAGGCTATTAATCCTCCCAAGGCACCACTTGCGATGAACGCAAGGTAAAAGAACATCCGAACAGACCGAAAGGGAGATAGAACTTCACTCCTTATCTTGGTTGCAGAACTGAGAACAAACAAAATTATGAACAAGCCTAACTTGTAAAACAAAACCTGATAGTCAGAAGCATTGAATAAGAGGAAATTAAGTCAGAAAAGCAATTGAGAAAGCATCTTGCTGTTTGATGTATTTATGTACTAAGATTATAAGGGCACTTTCTCAAAGTGAAGAAAAGGGCAATATGTCACAAACATACATTTTTTTTGGGGGGGGCGGAGGAGCATATTGACTTTCCATTTGAAGACTTAGACATGAGGTTAATAACCGAAGAGAAGACAGGTTGCCTGACACATATGTGAAGGATTAACAAAAACATCATTTTTCTTTTTTTTTTTGTTTGGTTCAGGCTCTTTTCTTTGATTTCCTTTCATGTTTTTTGGGGTTTGGTGCAGTCTGTAATGGTTTGTTTTTGTCCAATACGTAGGAACTTGCACATACAGATACTCTTCAGATGCCAATGACAGTTAATAGTCAAATTGAATTATTTTCATAACAAAACTTGTTCTTTTTTAAATGAAGATGCAGCATCCAATGATGAAAAATAATACTAGCATCGTTAAGGCAGGCATCTAAATCCATTGGACTGACCAACTCATTTTATGTAGAAACGTGTAGAACCAAGCTATCATCACACATCAATTCATAAAGGTACAATCAACTCGACCCTAAAAATCCTCAGCACTCCCTCGTTCCTATCCTTTTTCTTAGTTCTTCCTTCCTTTTCCCTCCTATTTTCAGTGACTGCCTTAAGAACCAAAAATTCTTAGCTCCAATTAAGTATAAAAGTGTGCATCAATGACAATACAACGCCGCCTAACAATGATGACAAAGAAATATTAGGAACCAGTGTCTTCAGTGCATCGCAATGATCAATCTAAATGTTCCTCAATGGGTTTTGAAAAAGCGCCCCAAAACTCATAAATATGAGCACTATATCAGGAGTAAGAAATTAATATAACAATTAATGAGAGAGAACAGTACCTAACTTCCGAGGAGGAAGAGGGCTTATTAGCAGCAGAACAAACGATGGAAGAGGAGACCGATGATGGTTTTGCATGAAATTTTAAATTGATAGAGGAGAGAGCATTCTTTCTATAAATGGGATTTTCGAAGCAAAATCTGGAACTGCTGTACTTTTGCCTAAGGTTTGAGGGTCCAAGAATGTAACAAAATTGTGCCATGGAAGCCATGGCAACACAGCCACTGGAACTTGTTGGTTTGGTTCGTTACTTGGTTTGTTACAGTTAGCATTGGCGCCTCCTGGAGAAATGTGGTCACGAAATTGCCACGCTTGCCATTTGTGAGTTGCCCAAAGGGTCTTTTTACTCCTTCTGGGCTAGTTTCTAGAACCCCGACCTAAGACACTTGGCCCCTTCATTTCGACCCGGACCAAAACCAGCCTGGGCCATTTTACAAAACCAACGCACCGATGTCTCACAACTTCCGGCCCGTCTAACCCATCTTCTTGGATCAATTCATCCATCTGTTTTGATGCCACTTGATTCTGATTCCAAACTCAGTAATTGCCAAGAATCCAACCCGTTCTTGCAAGGAGACCTCCACCCACGTTGCAGCAGATAAAGGAGAAGTCGTGCTTAAAGCTTTCATAACTGGCTGGCTCATGAGATAAGGAAAGTTCCCTGTCAATTCATAAAGGAATTTGAAAGGGTAAACAGGAAACTATAAACCAAAATGATGATAACATAGGGAAATATCATGGAAACATACATCTTGCCAGTTGGCAAAGAGGCAGAGAATATCATGCAGCCAAGAAAAGTCTGGTCAACTAAATATATAGGAAAATCCCATGCTAGAACTTGGACCGCGATGAAGAAAGTCTATAAATAGGTGAACTTGCCATGACATTGGCAGCAACAAAAAATTCAACTGAAAATGGAAGAAGTGAAGGTTCTAGGGTCGTGGCCTAGTCCTTATGGTTACAGGGTTCAATGGGCTCTGGAACTTAAGGGTGTCGAGTATGAATACAGAGACGAAGATTTATTTAACAAAAGTGATATGCTCTTGAAGTATAATCCAGTTCATAAAAAGATCCCAGTTCTTGTTCATAACGGGAAACCAATTGCAGAATCCGCTGTTATTCTTGAGTACATTGAGGAGACATGGCCTCACAATCCTTTGCTTCCAAAGGATCCTTATGAAAGGGCCATGGCACGGTTCTGGATCAACTTTGTGGACGATAAGGATAAGGTGAATTTCTATTTCTAAGCTTTAATTATATTGATTAGGTTGACTGGCTAGGTAGCATCCATCCATCTTCGTATGGGTTTTATAGAACTTGATTTGATTTAACGGAACAAAAGTGTGCAGCCTGGCCAAGAAAGTTAGACTGAGCTCAAGCTCATTCTTTCCTTCAACAAATCAATAAGGTAATGTTTATGAATTCAATGCGCAGGCTGCTCCATTCGTGTCATTCTTCATTACCGCTGGAGAGGAGCACAAGAAGGCAGCCAAGGAAGCGAAGGAGTTGCTAAAGATGTTAGAAGAACAAGCTCTTGGGGAGAAGAAATATTTCGGTGGTGAGGAAATTGGGATGGTGGACTTGGCCATGGGGTGGATGGCTGCCTCTTTTGGAGTCATTGAAGAGATAGTTGATGTAAAGATACTAGATGCTGAGAGCTTCCCTCGCTTACATGCTTGGATTCACAATTTCAGGGCACATCCTGCGATAAAAAACAACCTTCCTGATCATGATCAGTTGTTCGTCTCTTTCTCCAAGAAAAGAGAGATGTTTCTTGCGTCCACCACAACATGAAGACTAGCTTTCATTTCCTTCATATATATGCTTGCTTAATTCCTAGCTAGTACTGGACTAATATGTGTGAGGCAAATAACCACTACTATTTCCTCTATATATTTTGCTTGTTCAAGCTATAATTGAAGCCCAGTTTTTTTTTTTTCTTTTTTCCCTTCGCTTGAGAAATTGAATTAGGTAATTTTGGTTGTCGATATGTGACTAAATCAAACCTTGGAAGATTGGCGTATTCATCTTGCAAATATCAAATTCAACAAAGAACATTGGCAGCAGACAAAATTAATATTGTATTAAGCAACCAGCCAAATATGCACAGTTGGTCTAAATGTCAACAATTTAAAACTAAAATAAAATTAAAAAACAAAACAAACTATTGACTATGGTATTGACTGTTGAGGCCAGAACGTAGAGGCCAAGCAACCATTCAGGCATATAAAGGCCTGCCTGGGAAAGAAAAGAGCATAACATGACTGCATAAGCTCCAAGTTCTTTAAAAATGGAGGAAGTGAAGTTGCTAGGAACATGGGCTAGTCCATTTAGTTACAGAGTTTTATGGGCACTCAAACACAAGGGAGTGAAGTATGAATATGCGGAAGAGGATGTTTTCAACAAGAGCGAGTTGCTTCTTAGGTCTAATCCAGTTCACAAGAAAATTCCAGTGCTGTTTCATGGTGGAAAACCAATTGCAGAATCCATTGTCATTCTTGAATATATAGAGGAGATATGGCCTGAAAACCCCTTGCTTCCACAAGATCCTTATGAAAGGACCCTGTCTCGCTTCTGGATCAAGTTTGGAGAGGATACGGTAATGAAGCATGAAAAATTTTGTCAATTCATGGTTTAGAGTTTCTTTTGATCATTTATTTCCTGATCGACATTTGCTTTCTGTGAAGGCCCCTACATTCTACAAATTCTTTCATACTGTTGGAGAAGAGCAAGTGAAGGCGACAACAGAAGCTAAACAACTGCTAAAAATTATAGAAGAGCATGGGCTTGGAGAGAAGAAGTTTTTTGGGGGTGACAAGATTGGATTGACTGATATAGCCTATGGATGGATAGCTTGTTGGCTTGATGTCTTAGCAGAAGCAGCTGGTGTTCAACTTCTGGAACCTGACAGCTTCCCTCGATTACAGGCATGGGCTGAAAACTTTAAGGAAGTGCCACTGATCAAAGAGAACCTCCCTAACCGTGACAAAATGTTGACTTTTTTCACACTCCGCAGGGAGAAAATTATTGCATCAGCAACCTCTTAGATCACGTTTGCTAATGCCGAACATTCAATACAATCGTCTGAAAAATAAAGCCATGGGGAAGGGAAATCAGCTGCTGTTACCCTAATCAACATTTCAAGGCTCTCATTTTGGCTGTCTTAAAACTCTTATCCAAGATCATTTCTTTCCTCTTCAGTGTGCACATCCCTGGTCAAGCTTGGTTGAGAATGATGACACCGAGGTTTCTCTTGGTTGAGATAGTCAGCAATTGTTCCTTCTCGTGTTGCTCTGTATTTCATCGCCAAAATCTTGCTCTTGCTCTGCTGTTAGAGTTAAAATGGTGGATTTTGAGGCTAATAAAAGACAATACCAATGGAAAATATATACTCACAGAGAAAAGGCATAAGTAAACATACAAACAGCTAAATCCATGGACTTTTCAACGAGGGACTGGCAATATAACTAAGCTTTTCATTATGACATCACACTTAATAGCACTTTCAAACTCTGATCTGCTTGCAACATAGGCAAGTATATCACTTCCTAGGCAGTGAATATTTCCTTCGGTCTAAAATCCAGCATAGTTTCATAAGGCATTGATTAAGAACTATTGTAAGGGGACTTTCTTTATATTCTCATCACAGGTTCAAAATAAATTTATCACATTGGGAAGAGGGAAGAAAAGAAAGGAAGTGGAAGTTCACAATGTGTACTTAAATTAACCAGTTACAACAAAAATAGTGCCTTGGAAAGACTACCAAGTATTTGTAGCATTATATTTGGTTCATATTGTTCCCAAACTCAAAAATCCACAAGTCCTAAGAGTTTTGAAGTGAACAAATTACCAAACAAGGTTCAAATACGATACATACGACAACTTCGTGATTTTCATATACAATTTAAACAACGAGTTATGAAGATATGACCTCTTGAGATTTCAACTAAAAAAATGAAATAGAACTAAATGTTTCTGTTAACAGTGGCAAGAATATGGCAAATCTTGTTATAGGATCCAATTTTGCAGGGGGATCAGATATGCAAAATGACAGCATGCCTGATGAGCTAGGTCTCAGTATTTTTAGCATTTGCTTCTGACAGCAAAGTTTCAAGTTCTCCTTTACGATATAGCTTCACAGTATCTGCATCAGAATAGGAAGCAACAAGAATAATTGCAATCTATTCACCTGAATCTTGAAAAAAAAGTGTTTCTGATCTCTAATAACACAAGTTACTCAAAAAGAAAAAAAAAAAAACCATAAGATAAAATCTAAGTTCATTCCAAGAATCAAATATATATCTGAATTTAGGAGCCAAGGATTAGGGAATTACTAGCTGTCAAAAATTAAGGAAAGAATAATGGAATCGAGAGGAAACTGTAAAAGGGTATATACTACTATTCAGGAAATATTCCAAAGTATAATGTCTTATGTGATGGTAGAATCCAATTTTGTAGACTCATATAATAGAAGTCAAACATGTTTCAGGTTAGTAATGATGATGTAAGTCTCATCTTAATGAATGTATGATTAATGATAGAAATATGCATGAATACCTGTACAACCGCCAATGTGTTTGCCCCCTGAGTGAAGCAGATAGAAATTAGAGCATTAGTTATCATTATACAACCAAGAACATTTCACAGAGAAAGAGAGAGAAGAGAAAAACAAAAAAGGGAAAAGATAGCAAAACAAAAACTGCAGTTTACCGTCAAACTAGAATTACTTAGTATATTACACTCTAAACAAAGTTAGCTACGTTTGCACTAGGAAAGCATCAAAGAGTATGCTACAAAGATTTATAAATCTTTCCGTCACTACAACTTTATTCAGAATCACCACCACAAAAAGCCTTTTGCTTTGATATGTGATTATTTTAGCCAGAACTGCAGCCAAAAAAACAAAAAACAAAAAACAAAAGCCAAAATCTATACCCCAAATTTGTTTTCTAATGTGTTTAACTGTATCAGTGTCCCAAAAATTGCAAAAAGATGGAATGAACAATTAATACACAAGCCAAGTATGCCACGTTTTCAAATATTTCCAATTTTTTTTCAAAATAAAGAAACCACTACTACAAACTAACAACTGCCACTAAAGCATAACAACTCGACCTCTCAGCATGACATTGCCAAGTCAACATTGGAAACCTACAGGCAGCAAGTCCTCAAAGTCACAAGAAGAATTATAGATGGAGAGTAGGTCAACTAAATAGATAAAGAAAGAAACAAAGAAAAGAAGCTGGACATCGATTATGCAATTTTAATAGACGATCTGATGATTTGTACTAGCAAGCAGCAAAAGTTACATGTCCAAGTTGGTACTTGTTGCTCATGTTGATTTTATAATTATATTAGGATCAATTTTTGTTCTGTTTGTCAACACCAATCTGGCAATACAGAGTGACACTTCATCCATTTACAAGAAACGTAAATTCAAAGATAATAAACCATGGACTGGTAACAATTTAATAAATTTAAATGCAACAAGTCATATAGACTGTTCTACAATTAACATATGTCTAAATCAGTCAGGTAAAAGCTAATATTACTAAAGCACTACTTACCAATAAAAACATTTGGGACAGTATGTTGTCCAGTAAGCCGCTCCAGAACCTTCTGCACTTGGGGCCCTTGAGGACCTGAAAGAAATAAAACTCCTGATTAAATAAGCAATAAATCAAAGGTAACTGACTGCAAAGCCAATTTGGGATAAGAAATTTCATACTGAGCTACTGTCGAATTAGAGAAAGGTAACACATATGGTTAAATTCTAAGGTAGAGGATCTAATCTCTTCATCTTCTGAAACAGAAAGATTTTTTAGAAACATAATTTCCAACTTTTCAATAACAAAAAGGGCAAAATATTTCCAAGAGAAAGTACTATAGTGATTTGAGATCTTGCGGTGGGTTATGTTGGCATTGGCATGATTCCTTTGTTAGAATTTAGAAAATCTAAGACTTAAAAAGCATTAGGAATTAGTAATTAGTAATCTTATTGATTAAATTTTAAAGGTTTCTTACAATAAAAACCCAAAAGTGGTTATGAATCATGGGATTTCAAAAGTACTTGAATTCTGAATCTTTGAATTGCCAATTAACATGATTTAGACTCATGTGATTTCAAAAATACTTGAATTTCAGAACCTTTAAATTGTCAATTCACATTATTTAAACATTATAATATGAATAAAAAAATGTAGTCTCAGTTTCTTACATGAAAACAGAGACGCTGCACAGAGAAAGAACAATGAGCTAGCATAAAGATGTTTCAAAATCAGGTTTCCAGCATTGCCATTATTGATATTTCCTCTAGGCTTAAAAGACAGCTCCATTACTTATCTTATAGTAGTATCAAAACATAAGGCATTGCCTATTGATTGTAAAGAATAACCAGAAGAATAGACACAAGCTAGATTTTGAGAAAGCTCAGCTAAAGAAAAGTTAAAAGATCAAAGTCTTGGGTTAATAGCCATCACACTTAATAAATCTCCTATCTGTTTCTTTGTATCTGTATAAAGAATCAGGGTTTTCAGAAGTCTATTGATGATCTACAAGTTGCATATGAATTCATTAGATTAACTTTCTTTCAATAGTGAACTAGGCCACCCATCAACTCTCCTTTATTCATTCTTTGTTTCATTTAAGCAGAAAAGATGCCAAAATTTGCACCACATTCCTCATTGCATTCAAGTATCATATATGAGATTATGAAACAATCAACTTGAACAAGGCAGAAAAAGGACTTACTTACAAGGTCCATCACATTTCAAACACTTAGCATCAATTGTATTTGTAGCAGCCGTTTCTATGTATCATAATATTAACACAAATGATATTCCTCAAAACTTTATGGAAATTCAAAGTCAACAAGGTATCAAAAATCACTCTTAAACATCGTCAAACCAATCCAAGGGATTACCAAAAATAGTATTAATTTCAACAAATTCAAGATATGTAATAGTGAGTAATCAAAATTAAGCAGCAAAACATCAACAACCAAAAGAAAATCCAACTTTATATAAATGCATGATAAAAGAGCAACAAAGTGAAAGAAAACGAACCCAATTCATCCAATTCAATAACCAAAGGATTCACTCCAAGTCTCTTGAACAATGATTTCACCTCAGAAGAATACCTACACCAAGAACCAAACATAACATATATCTATTAAAAACCCACTTCACAAAAACAAATCAGTTTAAGAAGAAAAAAATGACAATTTTTGAGAATGATGAGATTTGAACCCACGAGCACCAAGTCTTGGAGTAAACAACAACTGGGTTATCAACCACTGTCTTCTTCACGTTCTCCTCCAGCCTGGACCCAAATGAGGAAGCCATGCCTCGTACCGACAAGGGTTTGCTTTGCTTCTTAGAGCCATTGATGCCCAAGCTCCATCTGGCTGATGTTGAAGCCACGTTCTTTTGAAAACGAAGAACTTTGTCGCATGGAAGCTGAGTAAAAGAAGAAGAAGAGAAAGACCCAGGACAGCTCAGCTTTGCCAGATGGGATGTAACTGCCATAGTTCTTTTGTTTTTCTTCCTGGGTTTTCTGCTTGTGGAGTTCGGTCTCTTCTCCAAGCAGCAATTTTGGAGTTCTTCTGTAGAACTTTCTCTTCTTGTTCAGACATGTGGGCTGGGTTATGGTTTTGGATGTTTGATTGACCCAATAAGAGAGCTTGGAAAAAAGGGTTGGGTTCGGATTGGTTAAAGACAATTGGGTTTGCTATTCATGCAAGTGACTCGGACCTTACGCACCACCTTATGCAGGCAAAAAATTGCTAGTATAAACTTAAATTTCTTTAAACTAATAAAGTAATAAGGTATTTCTTGATTCATGACTAGTGAGTGATATGTTGATTTCCAGTATCTTCTGGTTGTGTTAAATGGTCCAAGATTCAAACACTGGAGACAAAACTAATGACAATATGTAGACATAATGCAAACTTTACAAAGATTTTATGTATCTGCTACACTCCTCAGTCAAGTTGTTTTGTCCAGTCTAATGGTTCCCAGTTTTAAGAGAAACTTGCAACGACCTACTTCAAATACCAATACTCTTACATCATCAATTACATATACAAAGCCCTCGGTTAGACCGAATTCAACAAGGAAGTTTTTGCGGATCGAACCACGCCGTTTCCACTGGTATTAATCAGCTTCTTTGCATTGTGCTGGCAACATTCATCTTCAGCTTCATCAAGTGCCTGACATAAACTTCTTTTAGAACATTACACTGATGAACAAATTACTCCAACTGTATCATAAAATGAAAATGCTAGATTGCTAGTTGGTGTTATATGCAGGATGCACATGTGAATAAAGAATCTACCGCTACTCAGTTGAGTTAAATACGTGCATACGTGGACAATCTACTGTTAATTACAAAAAAATCCCGCTAATTCCTACCAAAAATTTTGTTGAAAAGTCAGTTTTGTCGAAATTGACCTTTTTCAATGGATTTTTGATGAAAATTTCGTTGAAAACTCCGTCACTAAAGAAGCCGACGGTATCGTTTGTTATTGAAAATTTTCAATGAAAAACTTCCGTTGGAAAAAGTTACAAAATTTCGTCTAAAAAATTACAATATTTTTAATAATTTTAATATCAATTTCTCGTAAAAAATTAAAATTGCCAATGAAATACGGATAGAATTTTTTGTCAGTTATTTTGTTTCAATGGATTTTTGTCTATAATTATCAATAAAAGTTTTTGTTGAAAATAACCGATGGAATTTTCAGATGGTAATTTTGTTAGTACCTATGAAATTTCATAAATATTTATCTATCGAGTTCCATTGGTGCTATAGTCACTATCTACAAATTTTTGTTGGAAATTACCAATGAAATTTTGTGGGTGATTTATTCATTGCCTATGGATTTCTATTGAAAATTATCAACAAAATTTTGTTGATAATTTAATCATTATTTACGAATTTTCATTGGAATTACTACCGAAATTCATTAGTTATGTAATCATTATGAATGAAATTCTTTTAGTATTACCAATAGAATTCTGTCAGTAGTTCAGTCATTATCAATGAAATTTTATTAATAATTACCAACAAAATTAATAAAAATCATAATAATCACCTTTCATAACTCACAATTGACATTTAAAATTCATAATAAAAATACATATTAAAATATGAAATTCAAATTCAAGTTGATGAGATTAAAAATTATCATAAACACACTATCTTAAAATGTTAAATAAATATAAACATAAACTTAAATGTGCTATTGTGTGTATATTAAAAAATATCTAAATCTAAATATAAACACGCTTATGGGTGCGGTTGAATATTTTCAAAAAGCTAACTTCTCTATCCATCTCGTTTGCTTACATTTATTTATAATTATACTCAATCATAATGCATATATATATATATATATATATATACACACATAGCATATTAGAAATATAATTTGTATTTGAATTATTAGTATTTAATTCTTTTCAAAATTAATATGCTTACCTTTGAAATTCAATAACCTTATAGAACATTTTTAATTGTCAAATAAACTTTAACATCTTGGAATGGACTACATGAACAAGGGATAGAGAGGTGCGTAATAATATGTAAGACCAAATATTAATCAAATAAATTTAGAGATATAAATTGAACAACATGAAGATTAATGACTATCACGTTTTTTTATGTGCAGGCCAACTTTTAATTTTAAGCAAGCCTAAAACACATCAATATTGTTAGTGTAGAAGTGTTAATAAGCAATATATCAAGAAGGGGTGAATTAGTATGTAAAAATTCTTTTGAAGACTAAGTATAAAAATTAAAACTTTTACAATAAAAAATCTCTCTTTATGCAAAAATAAAGTGTCTCATCTTTCTAAATAAATTTTCAATAATAAATTGAAATGAAAAGATAGTTTCTTAAGTCAAGTAATGGACAAATGACAAATCCAAGCAAAAATATTTTTCCAAAGTCAAGTAATGAACAAATAATAAATCAAAGTAAAAATGTTTTCCTAAGTCAAATGCAAGCAATAATAATGAATCAAGATAAAATATTTTAATAAGCAAACACAATGAATCAAGGTAAAATATTTTCCTAAGCTAAATGCAAGCAATAAATCATAATGTAGAAAATTAAAAACAAGATACAAGATTTTTATAGTGGTTTAGCTTTTCTAGTGCCTACATTCACTCTCTTGGAATACTAAGGAATTTCAAATCTACTAAGAGGAATGGGCTTTTTATGGGATCAATTGAAACTTTCATAATAGCCTTTTACGGGATCCAGTGAAACCTCACAATGCTTTTTATGAGATCAAGTGAAACCCTCATAATAATTTTTTTATAAGATCAAATAAAACCCTCACAATACTTTTTATGAGATCAACCATAAACTCATAAATAGCTTTTCAAGGTTAAGCTAGAACCTTTACAATGAAGTATAAGAATTAATAAGAAATTGCCTCTACAAAGGTTAAGTGTTAAGAGTTTAAGCTTGAGTGTAGTGAGAGAAAAATATCAGTTTAAATGAAGCAAGTATAGAACTTTTCAAAGCTTGGTGGAAGACTAAAATGAAACTTGAGAGTGAAGATGAGTTTTTTGATGGTCTCTCTATGATTTGAAACTTTATCTTAGGTATTTTTTTTACTTCCAAATGGTTTAAAGGTAGTTATTTATAGCTGGTGTGAAATTTGGAGCCATTAGACACAAGTTTGAATCAAATTTGATTATTGTTGAAGCTTGAAGGTCAACTACAATGCTTTTATGGTTGACTATGTTCTTTAAATTTCTCAAATTAAGGCTCCATAGTCGAGTATAACCTTCCTCTATTGAAGTCAATTCCCTAGAGTGTAATTTTTGTAAGCCTGAGCTGATATAGTCAACTATGCATTTACTACGGTTGACTATGTCTCTTGATTTCTTCCTTTTTCATGCATCAAAGTAGCCAAGGTTGACTATGTCTTTGTTATCTTCCAATTTTCGAGCTTTCTAGATCAAGATTGACTATAACCACTCTAGGGTCGACTATGGCTTTGTATCCTTTAAGTTTTTCTTTTTTTCTATTTTTGGATTAACTTGAGCATATCTAAAATTGATTCTTGATTCGTGTCTTGGGGTTTCTTTAGTTTTTAGGCTTCTCTTTTCAGCTATTTCTTCCTTACTTTGTTCTTATAATCAAATAGTAATTCAAGACATGTCTGCTCTTGTTTCATTAGCTAAATATGCATTATTTGAAAGTTTTTGTGATTTTTTTATTGACGTATGGCTTTTAAAACCATTTTGTGACCTTAGGGGATTAAAAAAAATATTTGAGATAATTTTAAATGCTTAATGTTAAGTTCAAGATAACATATAATTTTTGTCAAATTAAAACATGATGTAACTCAAGGTTAACAATCTTTTCTTGTTGGATATGATAAAAACATGAGCATATTGCATTTGAAATTTCTTGAAACCTCTCCTTAACTAAATTAGTCTCTATGCCCTTATTGGACACATTTAAATGTAAGTGAGAAGAATAAAAATGGTGAATATGAATTTTGAAAATTCTCCCCCTCAATTTATGTACGAAGTTCAAAAATGTTTTAAAAAAAATTTCAGTTAATATAAGAGCATTTCAATGTGCTCATAAACCTTCTGTCCTTTTTTGTTATATAAAAAAGGAATAGAAGTATAAGCTTTAAGCATATAAACTCAAGAGACAGTGGTTAGTGATAATCAATAAGTATAAATAAAACATTAAATCCAATAATCTTCTTTAACCATTAACTCAAAATAATGAAATATATTTTCATGCAAAATATTCAATTAAGAGATCAATAAATGTATCCATTCATCATAATTTGAAAGTATTAAATCAAGATATACTTTTAATCAATAGGTATTCAATCAAAGCATAGGGGAAATATATTCATATAGGGCAATGTGCATAAGTAAGTCATAATACATTTCTACTCAAGATATTCAATTAAAACATGAAGAAATATATTCAATCATTGTAAATAAAGGCATAATATATGTCATCATCAAGAATGCCACATATAGATATAAATTTATAAGCAAAGTGTAGCATTTTATCCTTTAAGTTCAAGTTGGATATGCATAGTTAAGCATGAAACATTCACAAGTCTTCATATAATGTGAACATGATTTAGTGATAAGTGTGCAACTAATATGTTCACATATTTATTCAAACAAATAATCAACTAACAAGAGAAAGCAAGTTATCAACAAGTAAGCAAATTAAAGATACAATCAATTGTGTAAAGGTATTCGTAAATTTATACACAACTAAGAATAGTAAGGAGTATAGCTATCATCATTTAAGAATAAATATAAGACATTATTAAACATGAGGTTAATATGGTGTTTAAGAGATGTTACTAATAGAGATGAACATCACTTGTTGAGATTTTCCTAGCTCATTATTAAAGATTTCAAGTGCTCAAGAATCATAGGACAATGTCCATGATCAACTCCCCCTTAAACGTTCATTAGATCAATTCTAACAAGGAGAAGAGATTAAACAGTAAATCACATTAAAGCTTAATTTTAACTTTCTTTAAAAGGATTATGAGGTAAATATGGGGGATACATAACGATCATATTATAAATGAGTATTTAAATAGAATGTT